AACCACTATTTGGGAAATGCATTAAAGATTTTAAATTTTTCAATACTATTGTTAGAATACTCTCACTATTATTATTTTGAGAATTTTAAATGTTTTTTACAAGAATTAGTTTTATTTATTATGGCAGATTCATTTAGTATATACCCATAGAAAAAGCATTATCCCATTGAAATAACATTACTCCCATAGACTTAGCATTGCCCATGTTATTCCTATGCCAAAGACTTAGCACTGTTCATAGACTTAGCATTAACCATGTTATACCTATGTCATAAACTTAAGCTGTATGGGGGAGGGGGTAGCCGAACGATCCTATAAACCACATTATTCATATCTGAATTGTGGTTAAAAATGATTAATTAGAAAAATTAACTTATTCTAAGCTTTACTGTAGTTAAATCTAAAGATTTTTGTTAACCCATTGACAGCCCACAGAAGAGCTGTCAGACTACGTGTCTTTCATGAACAATGTCCTCAAACTTTCAGTAAATGATATGAAGAATACAATACATGCAATGCATACCAATATTTTGTTCTCAAAACATAGACAAAATTACTTTTTTGTGTTATTTCTTAAGATATCGCATTCATTATTAATTTTAAACAACAATTCTGCTATAAATATGTGGTTTATATGATCGTGAGACTGGACTTGCAACTTTCCGTATTTTTCAATTCCCTTCCCTCTTCCCTTCAGTCATGAAAAGAGGGAATCCCTTTCCCTTCATCTGCAGGGAAGAGGGAATCCCTTTCCCTTCCCTTCACATTCCCTTCAAATACTGTGCATTGAGTTTATAATACACTGGTATACTGTATACAGCAAAATATACTGCTTTATAGACAATAATATACAGTTTCTATACATTTATTGAACAAATTTGGCACAAAAACAATACTTTATCTGTAACTAAATTTTATTTTAAGAGTGATTCCCTTCATTTTCCCTTTTCTTCTGAGGGAAATGAAGGGAATTTTTGTTAGAGGGATTCCCTCTATGGTTGAGAGGAATTCCCTTCCCTTCAACTCATTTTCAATTCCCTTTCCCTTCATTTCCCTCAGAGGGAAAGGGAAAATGAAGGGAATTCCTTCATGAAGGGAATCCCTCTTGCAAGTCTACGTGAGACCCGTCAGACCAATGGGAAACAAAGTCAATATTAACAAATAATTATTTATTATTTGAAAAGTGTGTTAATATGACAATAAAATGTGTTCACATATTTATCTAATCAATTGCTCGCAATAATGTTAACAATTATACAATTTATTCTTGATATTTAAATCTCATTAATTTAATAATACTCTTGTAATCATAATTTATTTTTATGGCATTAAGAATACATGCAATCAAATACATGTATAATGTATAATTTAATAGTCTCATTTCTATCAAACCATGAATAATTGGCAAAACATTTGATAAATTTATATTTTTATGGACTATTAATTTTATGACGAGTGATTGCCGTGACATTTAAGACATGGAATATTATATTTATAATTTTAAAATCATAACATATTAATTGCAAACATATTATTTTATTCACATAGTTTTCATTAATAAATCATGAAAAGTATTGTATTATAAAGAAGTTTATACAACGATATAAAAGCAATCAGTAATTATTTTAAAAACTAATATAATAATATTAAATTTAATTATTTTATACTTTTTTGTAGTAAATATAATCATAACATTATAATATAGTTCATTATTTACTAAAATAGCTTGAGATTGAATATTATTAAAAATTATTTATGATTAAAATTAATTAAACAAATTAATAATAAAAATGGAAATAACCAAGATGTACGAGTTTCTGGCAATTGTGCTAATTTGTGTAATTCTCTACTCACTGATCGCATTGATTATAATTTATTGTAAGTTTTAATAAATGTTATTTAAATAAATATAAAATAAAAATTGCAATTAATAGGTAAAGATTGGGAAGCGTTGAGAGTTTACTGTCCGACACAAGAGATGGATATTATGAACCCTTTTCTATATCATTATAATCCGGTCTTAAATAACATTAATAATAATTTTGCAAAACAATATCCATAGAAATAGTATAGCATTCATGGCATATATGTATTGACACTATTGTAATAAATAGTACAGTGCAACCTCTCTTGGGGGAACTTCTCTTGGGGGAATATCTCCTTTAGAGGAACGGATTTTTAAGCATATTTTGGATTTTCTATAGCTTTAACAGAACCTCCCTTGGAGGAACCCTCTCTGTAGGGAACACTTTTGCCGTTCCTTATGGAGAAGTTGCACTGTATTAGAATATTAAAATGTAATAAATTTAGAATATAGTACACATTTTGTACCAAAAGAATCAGGGTTGAAGCAGCCTTCAATCTACGGGTGTTCACATACAACGTACATACAGTATAAAAGACATAACGTTACAGACAATACTATATTATGTCAAATCCAGTGAATAGTTAACTATAGTTAATTACATAATCACTAAAAATAAAAATTTACTTACAATAATTAAGTATAACATAATTTGTACCTGAAATCCAAGCGCGAGACTAAACTCATACTTGTGTATAGTCTTAGCATTACATAAAGGCATCTCATTTAATGCAAACCTCATACCAACGCACAGTCGAGGGCCTAACCCGAAGGGTACGAACGTAAACGGCGAGTGCTTTACATTGATAAATTATTCGGGCTTAAATTCATCAGGGTCAACAAAATACTCCGGATTTATATTGTATTACTAATAGCTTTATTTTCATATTAGTTCCCGCCAAAATTATTATACCTGTTAAGGATATGTAATAATAAATATTTATTCAGCATACATGTTTTAGTGCCGGTATTTCCCAGTTTATAGTCTTGAATGCAATTCCGTTGAACACGAGGTGGGACCAGTCTTAGTAAATTAACTTTGATACACTATTATTTTATTAATTCACTTAATAAATATTTAAAAATATATTTTATAAATTATAATCTGATTTAATAATTTGCGCGCATTTATAGCCCGTAAGTATCGCTGCGGAGGCGGTGTTAGCGTTGGGTATAACGGGAAACACAGAGGCGTCGCAAACCCTTAGATTGTTGGCCCCCTTAACCCTCAACTGGGGGTCGACCACAACGTCCGGCCTCTCTATCGCACCCATACGACAGGTGCCCGACGGGTGANCGCACCCATACGACAGGTGCCCGACGGGTGATCACCAGAGTTTGTATTGTATTTAATATAACACTTCAATCCCTCAACGCATTCATACAAATACTGTTTGTCCGGACAGTCGGGACAACCTATTGATGAAAATGAAGGTAATGGCTGAAAATATTGTGTCAGTGTTGATTGTTCTAACATGTTAAACACCATGGTCACCGCATCCAACATATTTTCTCTATCAATGGGCTGTGAATACCAATTGGGGTCAATCAATGGGGGCAACAATGGGTCGGTCGACTGGAGCCGTATTGAGCCATAACTTTTAAACCGCACTAAACCAATGGTGATGTATATAACACTAGAGATATGTCCAAATTCAAGCATCACATTTGGCCACTCGTTGTCTCGGTTTAGAAGTGTGTTTAAATACAATACTAATGTGACAATGTTTGCCAAAGGTCCATCATGTTTATAATACAACTGGTCCAATTCATCTATGTTAAATTGAGGTATTTTATTAGCTAAGTACAAGTATTGTGGTTTTAATTGGGCTATTATTGGAGTATTCGGATGATTCATGTAATGCTGTCCAACCGGTAAATCTAACACAACCGGTATATTAAGGCTATTCAAGTGCTGTTTCGGACCCACGCCTGAGAGCATCAATAATTGCGGTGTATTTATGGCACCTAAATATCGGTATTATTTATTATTCATTTATAATTTATAATAATTTATAATTATAATTACCGGCGGAAACAATGACTTCTCCAAGTGCTGTTTCGGACCCACGCCTGAGAGCATCAATAATTGCGGTGTATTTATGGCACCTAAATATCGGTATTATTTATTATTCATTTATAATTTATAATAATTTATAATTATAATTACCGGCG